AGATTTTTCTAATGCAACATGTCATTTGATTTCCTGACTGCTGCTTCCATAAGTGTTGATAGTTGATCCAAGAAGAATGAAGTCCTTGACAACGTCAATCTTTTCTCCCTTGATAAGAATGTTGTTTATTGGTCCAGTGGTGAGGATTTTGTTTTCTTTACATTGAGATGTAATCCATACCAAAGGCTGTCCTCTTTGATCTTTATCAGTAAATGTTTTAAGTCCTCTTGACTTCCAGCAAGCGAGGTTGTATCATCTGCATATCGCAGGTTGTTAATGAGCCTTCTGCTCCCATAAAGATTTGCAGCCTCGAAACCCTGTGCAGGATCACTATGTGTTGGTACCGACTCCATGGTACTTAACAGCAGAATAAAGGTTGGGCAATTCTAAATTGACACAAAATGTCTGTAACACCACAATCAGCACAATGAAGGAATATAAATGATCAATATTGTGAAGATGAGATGGACATCTTTCTGCTTTATACCAAGTATTTTGTGCCCTAAGTACTGTGAACTATGGATATTTCCAGATATGGATTATACAAGCAATATAATGCAGTACAGATATTTTCTTTACCAACGACTGTTAACCATTAAGGATGAATATTAATTTAAAAAACCGTATTAAAAATAGACAAAATTTCAAGAGAGAAAAAATGAAATTCCCTTTTAAAGAAAAAAAAATAAAACTCCAAAAGATAGGTTGCTGTTGCTAAGTGCTGTTGAGTTGGTTCTGACTCATAGCAACCCTGAATAGGGTTTCCAAGAAGCGACTGGTGCATTTGAACTGCAGGTCTTGCACAGTTAAAACTGACCTTGTGGTCCAGTGTTTACTCTACAGCACCATGCCAGGACTCTAAATGATAGGTAGGTAAAGATAACCTGCCCAATCATTCCCATTTTAGGTAACTTTATCTTAAAATCATGAGAAAAAGCTATGTGCACAAAAAACATTCATCATAATTTAATGTATAATGAAAATGAAAAGCAAGCAAGATATCCAATCATGGGAATGCTAAATAACTTCATAAACATGGTACAACTATTACAGGTTAAAATTTTGAATTGCATGTTATAATAGGGAACTATGGATATCTGTTAGGTTAAATATCTAAGATAAAAATGATTTATACACTACAATGGAAACTCTTTAAAATATACACATTTACAGAAAGACAAAATAATAATAGCTTCCTTTTCTTTTAAATATATATTATTTTATTATAAAATATATGATACTTTTATAAGTAATTAAATATACCATTTTTTAAATTACAAAAAGCAAACATGCATTCTATATATGAACTATTAATTCTGAATGAGTAAAGTATGAATCAATGTAATCTCATGTATTCTGGGAGTATTTTAAAGTGCTGAAAATGTTAGGTAATGTGCATCAAATCCCTATTATGTACCAGTTGCTACAGATATATTTTCTCTAATTTTTACTGCATGTCTGAAAAGTATTAATTCCATGGCTTCCAGAGGTAGAAATAAGGTTACCTCAATTTGAAATTTTTTTCCAGTTTTCAGACTTCTAAATACCAGTGAAGACTTGAATTCTGGTCAGTTTCGCTCCAAAACATATATTCTTCTCTATCCTCAATGGTCTTAACATACATCTTTAACGAGTATTAAAGATGCTTGGACAACAAACTTTATCTGAGTAAAATGTACTCTTGTTTACATCAGAATAATTGAACCAAATCTGAAATCTCACCTCTCTTAAGACTGATTTAAAGTGTGACCTCCCTGTTTTCTGAGATGCCGTTTTTCCAGAAGGCCCATAACGAATCTGATTCCTCTTGCTTATGACATCAGCTTTCAGCTTTGGGGGCTCTCCTTCCATAACAAATATCAGTTTTACATCCATTAGTGTTAAAAAAGAGATGCGAAAAAATAAATTCCTGAAATAGATAAATGAGTAACATGTTAATCATGATGTATTAAGAGCAAAAGTCAAAATGGTAGTGTGACAACATGTCAAAACCAGCAGACTAGTTGTGTCAAACACATGGCCTCCACTTACTAGTTCTGTGTGATTCTCGGGAAATTACTTCATGTTTCGAATCTCAATTTCCTCATCTCTAAGATGAGAATAAAAACAACATGTCCAGTTTAGCTTCCCCTAAGTGTGAAACAATGGATATGAAAACATTTTGTAATATTCGTATTAAGGTATTTTCAAAGCGCACACTATAACAATGCTATAATACACATTAAATTGTATCTTTGTTTTTTTTTTGGAAATGATGAATACTCACTTCCATAAATTCCTTATTACTCATTTTAAGTAAATATGACATGAGAGACAAGTGACAGATTAGTATGAGGGTAAGTGAAAAGTATTGCTTTAAAATAATAAAAACCTTGATTAATCAAAAATATAAAAATGTAAAGCTACTGTTTCTCAACATATCCTCCAATTATTTAGGTCTATACAATTCTGAAGGCAATGGTTTCATCTCTTTAACCTTGCTCTGACAAATTTTGTACTCTTTGATTTACATTATGTCAAAATGGCAGTTTTAACATCCCAAGGGACTGAAATTGTGTTACTTTTACATGTTAAGTTTGGGGAACAAAAAGAAGTCTGAGGGGCAAAATCAGGTCTGGAGAGTGGATAGTACTAGGTTTCCTAATGAAATTCTTGTAGAACATCCCTTGCTACCTTTGAAGAATGAGCAGGTGGCACTGTTGTGATGGAAAAAAAAATTCGTTGGCACAACTTTCTTGGCCTTTTCCCCACCAATGCAGTTTTATGTTTTCTGTAGTTTCTTAAAACCTCTTCATGATAAGCTCCAGTAATCATCTTATATCCTTCAAGAAAATCTATCAAATCTATGCCTTTGTAATACCAAAAAACTATGTAGTGCTGTAGATTAATGCACCAGACTGCAAAGACGTTTGACCTGCAAAGTCAGCAGTTCAAGCTCATAAACTGCTCCTTGGAAACCCTAGACAGGGTTGCTATTGGTCAGAACTGACTTGATGGCACTAACAACAACAACAATGTTCCAAGCTGACCTGTCTTGAATTTAACTGGCCTGGCAGATCCTCTTGGAAGCCACTGTTTTGATTGAATTTTTTTTTAAAGGTATCCTAACAAGATTATGACAAGTATATTATTGAGAGAACTTATATGCAGTCATTTATTGATTGCAGAGAAATGTTTAAACACACTTTGCTTAGAATAAACCCATTCGTGTATGAACTGGAACCCTCGTAACAATACTTTCTGATTTACCTATGTACTTCCTCAACAACTGTTAAATGAGCACCAAACCCTATACAGGGTTACTATGGGTCGGAACCGACTTGATGGCACTTAACAATAACAATGTACAAACATTTTATCAAACAGTGGAAATAACAATTTTGAATAATACAGAAAAACATGGCCCCTGCACTCTGGTAGCTTCTGGTTTTAATGGGAAAGGAAGAAAAACTTATTTTATAAACAGATCAAACGTGCTTTAGCTATGACAAAAATGTTCAAAGGAAATAAAGGATTGACATAGAAAACAACAATACGGAATAGGAAACCTACTTTGGATAAGAAACCCAGGAAAGGCATTGCAAAGAGGTAGCATATGTTAGTAATTAAACAAAGAGAATGAAATACTCATTTTAAAGTGGGCAGGAAATGGACATATGTAGAGAATTCAACATGTGAAAAGTTAGAACCAGGAAAATACTTCATGTTTCTTAGAAGTTGAAAAAAAGCAATGAGGCTACTGAGTGTGAGAGGTGCTGTGATACACAGTTAATGACTTTTTCTAAGTGTAGTGGGAAACTACTGAATGTTTAAGAGGATGAGGCACTGCAGCATAAGCTCTGGAGTGCTAACCACACGGTTGGTGGTTCAAACCCACCAGCTGCTCCTTGAAAATCCTATACAGTGTCACTAAGAGTTGGAACTGATTTGATGGCACTTTACAACAAAAATATGATTAGAATAGTTGCTATGCAGAAAATTTTTTGGAAGAGGAGGCCAGGAACAAAGGAATGTTACTCCAGCAGTATACATGAGAGATAATACTGGAATGTACTGGGGTGGTGCTTTAAGGCACTGAAAGAAGTCAATAAACACAAAGTGTATTTTGGAAGTAAAACTGACAAGATGTGGTGATGACTAAGAAATAAGGGCGACACTTACTTTTACATTTCTGGCTTTTAACACAAACATCCTAGTTGGTATGTTAAGCAGGCAGCTAAGAAGGGAGCTAAGTACGGATTTATGAGTCATCAACATAAAGTTTAAATATTTTTAAATCTGTAAATGTAAAAGAACAAGATAAAAGAAGTAGAAATAAAACCAAGATATCAATTGTTTGTGCGCTCATGCACTTATATTCTAAGAACTTTTACTATACCTGAGGTGAGGCTTCAAGACCGTTCCAATCATTTTTTTGACTGCTTGTGCCTCACACACCCAGAGACTCAGATCAACTGCAATGGTTTTTCCACTAAGACTATATAAGTGGGTATGTTGCTTAACAGGCTCCAAAATTTGCCACAGGTCATTCACACCCATACTGGCGATTATCTGTTTCTGAAACACATTTACAAAAAAAAAAAAAAAAAAAAATACTAGTCTACAAAAAAAAAAAAAAGTGAAAATAAACAGGTTCAGAACAGGAATTCAAACAATATTTATAAGCTACTTCAGAATGATAACTAGAGAAATCTCCTTATTTCTTCTATAAGCTTTCCAAAAAGAATCAAAAACACCTGAAACATTAAAGATGGTGGCAATTTGTTTTTGTTCATAACACGAGTAAATACAGAAATGGATTGAAAATGCATTGATGCTATACATCACTAACTTCTGTCTACTTGAGGATCTACACTTTGATAGCATAATGGTTACAAGTTGAGCAGCTAACCTCAAGGTCAGCAGTTTGAAACTATCAGGTTTTGTGTGAAAGAAAGATGAGGCTTTCTACTCCCATAAAGATTTACAGCCTCGTAAACCCTATACAAGTCACTATGAGTTGGAACTGACTCCATGGCATATAACTACCATCATACATACTTAAAGAGAAAAGGGGACTGGTCTTTTCATCAGGAAAACTAAAAAAGTAAGGAAGCATGCAAAACAAATAACTAATAGACAAAACAAAGGGTTAATGAAAGAAAATTTTATGGCGACAAGAAAATATAGAGCTGGAATATTCAATATTATACTTAAAAAAAAAAAATGCACAGTCACAAATATTCACTGCACATGTTTTAAAAACAAAATTGGCTTAAACTCTCCTAATATTACCTGCTATCTATTTTCTAAAGACTAGCTGTTTCTTACTACACATGTTTTTCTTTTCCTGGACTACTACTTGGTAAGAATTACTTACATTTTACAGTATGGTTTCTGCCTGAAGAAAGAACTGTAATTCGATTATTATATCCTAATTAACTTCATAAGGATCTCTGATAGTGTAGTGGTTACGAATCTGGCTATGAACCTCACCTCAGGTATAGTAAAAGTTCTTAGAATATAAAAACAGCAGTTCGAAACTACCAGCTGTTCCGTGGGAGAAACATGAGGCTTTCTGCTCCTGTAGAGACTTACAGCCTCAGAAACCCTACACAGGGTCACTATCAGTTGGAACCAACTCCACGGCTCATAACAACAAAAATAACAACTTCATGGTGTGGTGGTATGGTGCTGTGGGTTAAAGCACTGGACAACAAGGTCAGTTTGAA